TCTGTAATGGAACATGACAGCACTCTTATTTCATCTGACAGGGAAATCTACATCCAGGCACACAGCGCCGATGAGATGGGCCGTCGCCGCTTCACATAATAAACACAATTTTATACACGCAGCCGGGGAAATGTCAGATGGAAGCCATCAAATGGGATGGGCAGATAAGGAGTGAAGGGACCTGTATCACCATTGTCATGTGTTACATGATATCTATGGCCCATCAGGGTTTGTCAAACAAGTGTAGGGTTGTGAAATCGGCAGGAGCAAGGAAAAAGGCCAGGGACTGTACTTGCTAAAACTTGGATGGTACAATTTGCATTTCCTCCATCAGGGTCTTCTTAAAGGGAACCTTTAGCAGTTTTAAACATTTAAGGTCAGGGGCGGACTGACAACTCATGGGGCCCCCGGACTATAGGGGATCATGGGGCCCTGTGTCCTTGCCCAAACTCAAAAAAGCCTATGAAAAAGGTACCAGGGGCATCTCATGGGGCCCCCTACTGACCCCGGGCCCTCGGGCAGTGCCCGAGTTTCCAAATGGTCAGTACGCCCCTGTTTAAGGTGTATGTAAACCCTAAAGTTGAAGTTCTCTTATCTCTTAATGTGAAACTTCTCCAAGGTGTGCAATAGGAATAACATCCCTGGAGGATTCTGTAGGTTGGAACATGATTTGACAATGCTGGAAGATTGGTCAAAGCAGTGGAAACTTTTTTTTCTAAATGTAAAATATTGCACATAGGGAAAAAGAATCCCTTGCTAGAGTACAATATTGGGAATATAGTGTTGGCCAGCACTACAGAGGAAAAAACTTTGGGGTACTTTTTTCAGGTGATTGCAAAATTAACTAACAATGTGGCCAGGCAGTCGGAAAATCAAATAAAGTACTAGGATGCATCACTAGAGAGATCACCAGCAGGAAGAAGGAAGTCCTGATTCCTCTAGATCTTTACTTATCACTAAAGGGATCACCAGTAAGATGAAGAAGGTCCAAAGTCGTCTATTTAGATGTTTAGTTATCACTAGTGGGGTGACCAGCAGGAGGAAGGAGGCCCTAAGTCCTCTATTTAGATCTTTAGTTATCACCAGAAGAATCACCAGCAGGATGAAGAAAGTCTTGGTTCCTCTTTTTAGATCTTCAGTTATCACTAGAGAGACCACCAGCAGGATGAAGAAGGTCCTGATTTCTCTTTTTAGATCTTTAACTATCACTAGAGGGATCACCAGCGGACGAAGAAGGTCCTGATTCCTCTATTTAGATCTTTTAGTTATCGCCAGGAGGAGGTCCTGATTCCTCTATTTAGATCTTTAGTTATCACTAAAGGGATCGCCAAGAGGAGGTCCTGATTCCTCTATTTAGATCTTTAGTTATCACTAGAGGGATCACCAGGAGGAGGAATGAGGTCCTGATTCCTCTATTTAGATCTTTATCACTAGAGGGATCACCATCAGAAGGAAGAAGGTTCTGGTTTCTCTATTTTAGATCTTCAGTTATCAGAGGGACCTCCAGCAGCAGGAAGGACTTCTGATTCCTCTGTTTAGATCTTTACTTGTCACTAGAGGGATCACAAGCAAGAGGAATGAGGTCCTGATTCCTCTATATGGATCTTTAGTTAGACCTCATTTACTGTTTTTCATTTCTGAGGACCTCACTTACAAAAAGATATTGATAAAATAGAACGAGTCCAGAGATGGGCAACAAAAATGGTGACAGGTCTGAGGGATAAAATATCAGGAAAGACTTTAGGAATTTAATATGTACAGTTTGGAGGAAAGAGGAGAAAGGGGAGACATGATTGGAACCTTTAAATACATCAAAGGGGTGACTAAAGTTTAGGAGGGCAGTATTTAAGATATAAAGCCAAGATCAATAACATGGGTACATGACCTCAAACTAGAAGGAGGAAAGTTCAAAACTAATCTCAGAGCTTATTACTTTACCACAAGAGTATTCGATGCTTCATCTATCGTAGATGCTTTATCTATAATAGATCTGGGGTTGGCAACCTGTCGATCATGATCTACCCATCAAACAAGTGACAAGTAGATTGCATACCTTAGTTGCCGACCCCAGAGAGAGGCATTTAGTGGATACCATGGCTGTAATTTCCTCCCTGCAGCAACTGAGTGCCAGAAAATGCCTGCATCTCCTCTTCTCCCTCCAGCTGCTGCAGGCAGGAAAATCCAGCCATTGGTTCCACTAAATGATGCCCCTGCTGCACCTCTTTTCCAGGTTCCTCTTCTTTGTGTTGCTTGGCCCCCCGTGTGCTTCATTGGACCCCCTGCAGTGCTGCCAGGTTCCCCTGCTCACACCCCTCCCCACTGCTGTGAGGGATATGTCAAGATGGAGAGCAGGAAAGGGGCTGCTAAATAACAATAAAAAAATTGGGGCAGACTCAGTGGATCAATTTATCTTTTTATGCTATCGCTTTTCTATGTTTCTATTTGCCCCCTTTTCACCTATTAGAACCGAATTTCAGGAATGTTTTTTTTTTCATAGTAATATTGGTCCAGCTTGGACCAATATAACTATTCAAACACCATACCTGTGGGATCCCTCTAAAAGCTGGAAATCACTGTAGTAGTCTCTGCTACTCCAGTGATCTCCACTAGCTTCTGGGTCTTGTGCTAACTAATACATGTGACCATAGGCATCTTGTGTTGTCATGCTGTAGGTCTTTTTATTTTAAAAGCTTAAAATGGTCAACAGGGTTACTTTAAAGACAAGGCCATGATGGAGTCAGAAAAATTTCATAAAAATTCAAAAATTTTTATGGCCTTTTTACCGCTCATTGGGTAGGGACTTTGTAACGGAACTGACCTAGACTGCGCTTGGGTACTTACGTTAGAATACCGCTACCCCCCGTCGAACACCGACAACAGACACCACAGCCGACCATACAAGACTAGACACCAGTCTTGAAGTAAACCAGGAGATAGACTAGTTTATTTGAACACAGATACAAGATATATACACTCAGGGGACAGTCTCCCCTCCCTGCATAATGACACAGGGCGGGGCGATCTACATTTAGTAACAAGAGACACAGAGGTATTCAAACTTCACACCAGCAGATAGTCCCATCAGGAGGGAGGGCTGCTGGAGACACCCCCCCTCCCCCCCATTAAAGCTAATACACATAACATTAAACAATCCACAGCTCCCACCTATCTCCTAAACATTTCTACACAGTCTGAGACAAAGCCCACACAATATTAGGACAGATCACCCTGTACCCCTAACAGACACAGGGTGATTTACATATAAGAGGGATATGGGAAGCTGAGACAGGGGTCTCCCCACCTCTCCAAAGTGAGCTGGGTTCCATGGGCCCCCCACTCAAAGGGACTCCCGCCCAGGGGCGGACTGACAACTCATGGGGCCCCCGGGCAATAGGGGATCATGGGGCCCTTGTGTCCTTGCCCAAACTCAAAAAAGCCTATGAAAAAGGTACCAGGGGCATCTCATGGGGCCCCCTACTGACCCCGGGCCCTCGGGCAGTGCCCGAGTTTCCAAATGGTCAGTCCGCCCCTGCTCCCGTCACAGACTTGAAACATACTGTAGCTCCCAAATGTCAATGATTTTGAGGGACTGTCCCTCATTTGCAACAAAGTCCCTCTGTCCCTCCTTCCTCCTCATGTGTCCCTCATTTTGGTCTGATCTATATAGTTGTATATATAAGGCACTATTTATCTATCAAAAAGTATTTTATAGTATTAAACCTTTCATCGAGTTACTAAATTGCTGTATTTTTACATTTCAAAATACAAAGGGATAATGGTAAAAGAGGCACTTTTGGGTTTAACCAATCATTTTTTTTGTATAATTCTCCTTTCAGGGTGCATGGCAGGGGGGTGTCCTATGCCTATATACTTTGGCTAATAGGTGTCCCTCGTTCCCATCTTAGAAAGTCGGGAGGAATGGTAACAAGCATTATAATTTTCACAGCATCTGTTAGTCATTATATATTTACAGACAGAGAGAGGCTGCTGAGATGTATCTTCTTATGTCAGATTCTGCCATTATGTTTTTCATGCACAGTTCAGCCTTGCTGAGAAAAATATAATCCCCTCCAGGTGACCTATTTACATTGCAAGAATTTATACCGACGTTATCTTAGATCCTTACCAGCTTCTGTTCTGTAAATTCTGATTAAAAACTCAGTACAGTTATCCTTTAAAATGGAACAGTTACTGTAAATACACAGATGAAACACATATAGGAGAGTTTTTGTACCCCCCTAAAGAATTTATATTTCTGTCCATCCATTCCTGAGGTTTATACATCTCTGCAATACAGCACAATTGTGTCTCCCTGGCCAGGAGACCAGATTTATCTCTGATGTAGTAAAGTAACAATTACAAGTCTTGTGTCTCCCCCAGCCTGTCATTGGACAGTGATAGGAGATGCAGCAAACTGGTGGGCTCATCCATCTGTCATTCAGCCGTCTTCTCCTATCAGCATGTTACTTGTTAACACATGAGTACTGCAGCACAACTGATTGGCTCATTGTGCTGCTTCTTCCTCTCCCAATCTTAGCTCTGCTGTAAGGGACTGCAAGCATTTAAAAATGAATTAAGTTTTAATTATATTTCAATATTTTAGTTATATAATATTATTTATTATAGTACATACTTTGTTACTGTACAGCCATAGAAGAACAGGTCCATACAATTAACACCAACATGGAGGAGGTACACTCCTTATAATCCAGCATTTTGGAGATCCCATACAATGGGACTTCTTTTTACATCTGTCACAGCAATACTGAGAGACAATAAAAATGTGGCCACTGTGCACTACTTGTATTTGGGGCAGCAGTTGGCCATGCGGCCTTCATGAATTTGACGCATGGCTTGTAACAGCAACTACACCACCAGAAATGTCTTATTGAAATGGCTCCATCTATTGAGTACTGGACCCAGGACCCTGGAGCTGCCATATAGTTATGTTGTCCACTGCCATTAGCAACCAAACTGATATCAGCATTTTTTCTTCCAACAGGCCGCCACGGTGATGGATCATTCTGGCCAGTGGATACCAACTTAATCGACAGAAGTAGTCTGAATGGTAAGTACCTGGTCCTATGTTTCCACAATGTACCTCAAGGTCAAATAAGCAATCACTGCTGTATTTAGAAGATAAGGACTGCTTTACTAGTTCAGCTTTAAGTTGACAGAGTGGAATTGATTATTGTGTAGTTTCAGCAATAATCAATAATAATAATTAAAACAAACCTTGTTAAAGACATTTTTTTTTTTGAAAAATGTAATAAATGCACCCACAGTAATGAAAAATATGTGCATTTTTTTAACTGTTTGCATTGAAGCCTGTAGAGCATTGCAGCCGCAATCAGTGCATCAAGCTTCCACATTGTTTATCACCAGCCCCTGGACTGTAACCCCTTAGTGACAAAGGGTAGCACATGCCTGAGTACAATTTTGCAACTTGGTCATGTGTTATTAAAACCGTACATATCATCGCAACTACACTATATTGCCAGAAGTATTGTTCCCGCCCTTCAAATCTTTGGATTCAGAAGTTCTAATCACCTTCATGGCCAAAGGTGTATACAATCAAGCATCTAGGCATGCAGCCTGCTTCTACAAATATTTGTGAAAGAATGGGTCGCTCTCAGGAGCTCAGTCAATTCAAGCGTGGTCCCGTGATAGGTGGCCACCTGAGTAATAAGTCCATCCGTGACATTTCCTGGCTACTAAATATTCCACGGTCATCTGTTAGTGGGATTATAACAAAGCAGAAGCAACTGGGAACAACAGCAACTGGGCCACCAAGTGGTAGGCCACGTCACATGACAGAGCGGGGTCAGCGCATGCTGAAGCTCACAGTGCGCAGAAGTCAGCAACTGTCTGCAGAGTCAATAGCTAAAGACCTCCAAACTGTAGCCTGCAGATTAGCACAACAACAGTGCATAGAGAGCTTCATGGAATGGGTTTCCATGGCCGAGCAGCTGCATCCAAGCCTTACATCACCAAGTTCAATGCACAGCGGCGGATGCAGTGGTGTAAAGCATGCCGCCACTGTACTCTAGAGCAGTGGAGATGTGTTCTCTGGAGTGATGAATCATGCAATCTGATGGACGTATCTGCAGTTGCCAGGAGAACGGTACTTGCCTGACTGCATTGTGCCAAGTCTAAAGTTTGGTGGAGGGAAGATTATGGTGGGAGATTGTTTTTCAGAGGTTGGGCTTGGCCCCCTAGTTCCAGTGAAGAGAACTCTTAAGGCCTCAGCATACCAAGGCATTTTGAACAATTTCATGCTCCCAACTTTATGGGAACAGTTTGGGGATGGCCCCTTCCTGTTCCAACATGACTGAGCACCAGTGCACAAAGCAAGGTCTATAAAGACATGGAGGAGCCAGTTTGGGGTGGAGGAACTTGACTGTCCTGACGTCAACCTAATAGAACACCTTTGGGATGAATTAAAGTGGAGACTGTGAGCCAGGCCTCCTCCCCGACATCAGTGCCTGGCCTCATAAATGTGCTTCTGGAAGAATGGTCCAACCTTCCCATAGACACCCTCCTAAACCTTGTGGATGGCCTTCCCAGAAGAGTTGAAGCTGTTATAGCTGCAAAGGGCGGGGCCAACTCAATATTGAACCCTACAGACTAAGACTGGGAGGCCATTAATGTTCATGTGCGTGGAAAGGCAGGCGTCCCAATACTTTTGGCAATATAGTGTACTTTGTGCATCTAGGTGAATTACACCTTGTTTTTTCAGGATAAATTAGATTTTCTTTTGGTGATAAATGGTGACAGATATTGAGTTGCATATTTTTAGCTACTACCGTAACCTACCACCAAAGAACAACCCCAGAAAAAATGATCCTACTCCTGATGGTTGAAGTGATAACTCATATGTGTATGAGATGGTATCAAAAAGTTTCTAGACGCCAACAGATGGCAGCACAAGGCTGCATGCACAGTGACAGGGAGCACCAAGCTTTATAAGTCAGTGTGCCAAAAGACCATTCTGTGTACATCAGGAGCTGTGCAATTGGTGCTATTCTGGCCACATACATTACTACGTCTGCTATTTCATCATGGACAGCAAGTTAGAACAAAGAGCAAATGTGAAATTCTGTCTGAAACTAGGCAAATCACTGGATCTCCGCAATGTTGTCTAAATGCAACCTTTGAGCTGGATTTTCATTTTCGGGAAGAGGGCATTTTCTGGGGTTGAGCTTGCTGAAGGTCTTGCTGATCTCGTCGTCTTACAGTGATGTTCTTCGGCTCTTGAGTGTGCCACTCAAAACACCTCGAACAACTCAATGATCACATATAAAAAAGCGGAAAAAAAATGTATTAATAATTTTTTTCTATATCTATACGCAGATGCTTTGCCTTTTATTTCTGTTTTAAACTGAATGGGTTGTTTTACAAGGTGAGGGTTTACATATGCTTTAATCACATTCAGCTATCAGAATACATTTTTTGAAAAAGTGCTCCTTTACCGGGTCTCAAAATGAAAAAAAACGTATTTCCTGTTAAAAATTGAGTGCACAGAGAAAGCAATATTATTTTTTTAAGACAACAGTACTGGGTTAAAAAAAAGTTTTTTTTTTTAAATTACATTTTTTGCACTGGCAGTTTATAACCAGGGGCGGACTGACAATTCATTGGGCCCCCGGGCAATAGGGGATCATGGGACCCCTGTGTCCTTGCCCAAACTCAAAAAAGCCTATGAAAAAGGTACCAGGGGCATCTCATGGGGCCCCCTACTGACCCTGGGCCCTCGGGCAGCGCCCGAGTTTCCAAATGGTCAGTCCGCCCCTGTTTATAACAATAAATAATAATAATAATAATAATGCTAATAATATACTGTATATAATAATATACCTGAGCAGTGTAACTTTTTCTAACCACATATCAAAAAAAACCTTATATGTTCTTAAAAACAATATAAATATTATTTAGGTATGAAAATTAGTCCTGAAGTTAAAGTCACGTTAACTGGCAAATATTAAATAAAAATGATACAATGACAATAATAATATTAATAATCATCATCAGGAGCGGACTGACAACTCATGGGGCCCCCTGGCAATAGGGGATCATGGGGCCCCTGTGTCCTTGCCCAAACTCAAAAAAGCCTATGAAAAAGGTACCAGGGGCATCTCATGGGGCCCCCTACTGACCCCGGGCCCTCGGGCAGTGCCCGAATTTGCAAATGGTCAGTCCACCTCTGGTCCAGGGGTGGACTGGCAACTCATGGGGCCCCCGGGCAATAGGGGATTAGGGGGCCCGGTGTCCTTGCCCAAACTCAAGAAAGCCTATGAAAAAGGTACCAGGGGCATCTCATGGGGCCCCCTACTGACCCTGGGCCATTGGGCAGTGCCTGAGTTTCCAAATGGTCAGTCCGCCCCTGCCCTGGTCATCATCATACTAATGACAAGACAGCTAATGGCTAAATGAAAATGAAAAAAAATGGTTTAACTGGTGAAATAAATTGGAAAGACAATTCACTATTATTAATATTTATTTATCCTCACTCACACAAAAAAATATGGGGAATTCTAGTTTGTATAAACATTTATTTACCTTGTTTTGCCTTAAAATATTACTGTGATCTCTGTGACAGGCTTTCTCAGTCTTCACATGCCTCAGGCACCCTTGTGAATAATTACCGAGGAAGGGAGTCTGTGATCTGAGTTGTCTTGTGGCAGCAGTTGTATCAGGCTTGAGGTGCGCCGATGTAAAATAAGAATGTGTGCCGCATCGCAGAGCCATGTATATTCTCTATCACTGTGCATGTATAGTGGATGGGATCGAGGTAATTAGAGCTACACATTTACTAGAATAAAAAAAAAAAACCAACTAAAACAAGATCCACATTTTGGATGAGGATGTTCATCAGTTTTAAAGAGACCGGGACTCTAGAAATTGTGCCAAAAGGCAAACAAAGGATGAGTCAAAAGTTTTCATGTTCTGGACTTACTATGCCTTGTTCTCCATTGGGTCTTTGTGTGGATATGGTCATCTTGGTAGAGGCAAGGCTTTTCTTCCTCATGTCAAAGCTACCCCCCCGTGTTTACTTGTGATCTAATGACTGTTGGGGCTATTTAAAGGAGAAGTATGGCCAAAGAACTTTTTGGTCCTATTTCTCCTATGAATCACAGGAGTGCACTTCGTCTCATTTTTAGCCAACGGCAGGCTAAAGACTAGTGATGGCTGACATTTCTTAGCTGGTCCAGGCTCTGAAAAGATGGCAACTTTAAAGTAAGGATCTACCCAGATGCCTGAACTGTTAGTTGGCAGGCCTCTCGGCATGCTGCTGAGAGCCTGAGCCAGCCACTCCTGCCACCTCCACAGCCCAGCGCTCCAGTGAGCACTGGAGGGGCAGAGCAGAGAGCAGACTGAAGAACTGAGTGATCAGCAGATGCTGCAGCATCTAGATGAGAATGATTATTTAATTTTTTTCTATTCCTGAACTTTTCTTTTAAGAATCATCAGGAAATGTTAAGGAAGTTGCAAATCCACAGAATGAAAGAGGAAGAAGCAGGGAGAACCTTGCACTGCAGTTCTTCAGGCACAGCTTCCTCTCCAGTAAGGAGAACAGTGAGCAGCACAGAAGTGACATAACTAAATCTCACTCCAAGTCTCTTGAAACTAGCTGTTGATCCTAAATGATTTCACACTTATAGTATACATAAATGAGGCTCAAGGCACAGGAGTGCCAAGGAACAGATAGTACACTGCTATTTTGCAGTAAGAAAAGGACGATTGTCAGGGTACTTGCTCAGCCACATTTAACAAATCTAGATGTTCTCTATAACACCGTCACTTTTTGAGTTCACTTTAAGGAGGCCGACTAGGTGTTATATAGACCAAGCAGAGGCAATGTTTTCAGAAAAGTAGGAAAGGGCTAATTTCCTATTCTTATCCTCCCAATGTTCTACCTATACAGGTCATTAATCACTTTATTCAAAGCTTGCAATTCAATAATCTACACAAGCAACATAACTGTGAGGAGACGTTTCTTAATGAAATGCAAATTACAAAGCATTAACCTGGGAATCTGCATTCATCCCCAGTTCCATACGCATTATT